TTTCCGCGTCTGTGAAATGAGATCCAAACCCTGTCCCCACTGGGTTGTTAGGAGCATTGAGGCACCGTGTAGAGCAGTTACGGCGCCGAGAAAGGAGCATGGGATTTGGGGCCAGGACCTCACTGTGAGTTCTGTCTTTCATCAGCTATGAGGCCTTGGGTAAGTCAGGGGACCCCGTGGGCATCAGCCCCCAATCTGTGAAAAGAGGGTGATGAGAGTCCTCATCTTTCGCTGGGGTGTTGGGAGGATCAGATGAGAGGATGGGTGTAAAAGTGCTTTGTAAACCGCAAAGCATAGAACAGATGTTGTTACACTCACGTGGGAAAGGGAGTTGGTTCTAGAAAGGCACAGAACACCATTCCAAATGTCTGGGCTCCTCCTCAACCCCGTCTAACCCACCCCGACCATGGACATTCACATGGGGATTATCTGCTCTGAACCAACCCCGCACAAACGCAGGCTACTAAGGAGTTGAAGGGACAGGTGTGATGCCCGATGGAGGAGCCGTGATGAGGATGACTCGGCCTGCTGGCCCTTACTCTCCACGGCTGAATGAGAGGGAGTGCCCATGGAGATGCAGCCCAGACCTGAGGCTGGGCACAAAGGGACATGGAGAGACTGCCCAGGGCCAGGAACCATTGTCTGCTCGGGGTCCTGGGACAGCCTCTGCATCCCGGGAGAGAAGGGGGCAGCTGGGGATACGGAGGTGTTGAGCGGGTCGCTTGGCGAGGTTTAGAAATCCGTGATTCTTCAGGGCATCCACAGGCTGAGGCGAGAACAGTTGTAACTCAGGCTCCTCACCTGCGGCCTCCTGAACATTCCTGTTATCTCACCCGGCACCTGCTGGGCCCTGCTCTGTGCCCGAGGGGCCGGCATGAATCCAGCAGCTGCTTGACCCTGAAAGACCCCACAGCTCGGTGGGGGCAAAGCTGTGATACCACAGGGCAAGCGTGATAAAAAAGAACTTTCCAGATTCTCACAATTATACGGAGGGAGCGGTTCATTCTGTTTGGGGGGTTGCAGCGGGGACATTTGAGCGGGACCTTGAAAGATAAATAAGTTTCCATTGGATGGAGGGAGGAGGCCATCTAGGCAGAGCGGACTGCGAGTGGAGGGGTGGGAGAGCATGGGGCAGGTCTGCACCCTGTGCCCTCCCATGCAGGTGGGAACCAGCACATTCTCTTCCCGAGCTGTAACAACAGATACAAAGAGCCGAGGGAGCACAGTGTCATGGGCTGGGCGTGCATTTGGGGTGGAAAGGAAGGAAGGGACTGGATCATGAGGGGCCTTGAATGTCAGGTTAAGGAGCTTTATCTGGGAAGAGATGAGGGTTAATTGAAGGAGGGGATCATGTGGTCAGCTCTATGGTTCTCTGAGTTCCTTCCAGCCAATGAGGATGGAGGATGGTTGAGGGGGTTGAGAGGCAGGAGACTGATGAAGTGCCAGCAAGAGATGATGAGGTCTGAGCTAGGGAGAGTGGACAGAGGCCCAGAGGAGAAACAAGAGGGGTCAAGGAGGCTTGTTTTGGGGATGGAGGCTCCTGTCTCCAGGTGGCTCTGCCTCCGCACAGGGGTAGGGACCTGTTGGGACCAGCGCTGCTAACAGCTGCACTGAATCCCACTTTTACAAGCACCTACTGCAGGCCCCATTCTGGCCAGGCCGTGGGGACAGAGCTCCTGACTGCACCAGCAGAGAAGCCAAGCACATCCCCTGGGAGGCAGGAAGGAAGAGAGCAGGTAAGGCCAGCATGGAAGGGGAAGGAAGCTGTCTGAGCACACCAGAAAGGGGCAGGCACGGCAGACAAGGGTGGAGGGCAGTGGCCCAGTGACGCACCCCAAGCTGAAACAGCCGGAGCCTGATCTTCTCATCCATTCATTGAACCCACTCTGCAGTGCTGGCCCTCCAAGGGGCCAGGGAACAGTGAGAGGGCCCGTGTGGCTGCACTGCGTGTGGGGGCACATCAGCAGGAGCGGGGGAAGTGCAGGAGGGAGTGGGGAGAAGAGGTGGGGTTGGATCCTGAGAGCCCTTCTCTGGAATGGGCTTGTCCCACAGGCCCAGCACAGGGGCCTCAGCTCTACACGCAGCATCTCTGGGTCCTGGGTCCGGGCTCCGGGCTCCGGTTCCTCTCTTCCAGGAGGAAGGAAACACCTGCTTTTGCTGTCACTTCAATTACACCCCGCAAAATGAGCGGCCAATTACCAAAGAGGGTAAACCCAGCGGGACCTCTGCTGGGCACGAGGAGGCGGGGGAAGTCTCGCATCACTCACTCTGATGAGCAGCAGCCTCTGATTCTTCCTGTTCCACGGCATTGGGAAAAAAGGGCCCCACCTGTCACTCACTGACCTCTTGTAAAATGGCCCCCATTTCCCTAACACTCACACGAGTGGGTGTGGAGCTTACTCAGGGTCCTGTCTGCAGAGGAGGGGCTCCTTCTAGACAGTGACCTGGCAGGATGATGTGCAAGAGATGGGGAGGGGGTGTTCCTCCCCATGAGAGCTGATATTTTCATATCACCCCAAACAATGTGGCCGAATTCAACCTATTGATTTTTTTTTTCCCCCCAAAATTCAGTGTGCTTGGTTGGTTTTGGACCTGAAAATTGCACTCCATTTTTGCAAGTGAATGTTTTCTGGAAACCAACTTCAAGAAGCGATGTAAAGTTCAAGCTTTGTTTAAAAGACTGCTGCTCCCAGCTGCTGACAAGTGTGCCGAGACGCATTTGCTGGGGTCTTTCCCCGTGAAATCCATTTGCTCCGGCTACAGGGATGGGAGGAGCGGGTGCAGGGTCTTCAAGCTCTGTTTCTCACAGCGGACCATTTAGGAACATTGATTGCCCTGGTGCATGCCAGCAGACTGTGTGACGGTGAGCAGAGCCCTCGGGGACCGCAGGGAGCCCCAGACCAGGGAGGACCCACCAGCGGTCTGTGTGTCACCCAGGGACATAGAGGAGATGGGGCTCTGGAGTCCACTGACAGATCTGGACCAAGGCCTGGCTCTACCACGTGACCCCCCAGGCCTTTCTTTCCTCATCTGAAAGTGGGAACAGCATTATGAAACTAGAGACTGGAGAATCGAGCTGACGACACCTCTAAAAGGCCCCCATGTAGGAGGCACTTGATGCACATCGGGTTCCTCCTGCCCCTTCCATCTTAGGCCACCTGTCCTGCCTTTTGCTGGGGAAAATAAAGACATTTATTTTCTTTCTAGAAAGACAGTGTCTCCTGCCACCGAAGAGCCCAGTGTGGTCTCTGCAGGGCTCAGCGACTGCTGGGGCCCTCTGGATGGGGGAAGGGCAACGGCCTGGGCTCTGCCTGTGCCCTGAGGAGCAGGGGGAGGAGGCAGCAGGACAGGAGCTGTACTGCAGGGGAAGCAGGCTTTGCTCCTTGAGAGAGTGGGCTTCTGGCGGGGAGGAGGGTCAGGCGAGGATTAACAAGGGCCCCTGCTCTAAACTATCTCGCCAACCGTTGGGAGGATCTTGGATCAACAACCTTCTCTTTAGGTTTAAAAATATTCCTAGGAGGCTGAATCCAAGTCAGTCATTTCAACAGACACTATGTACCAGGCTCTGTGTGGGACTTTGAGTCAACTGCTCCCATTGTTTTGAGTGACAGGGACTTGGATGGGGAGACAGGGAAGGACGTGAGAAGGAAGAAGAAAAGAGAGGAAGAGGAGAAGGGAGACGCGCTGTCTGGTCCAGGAGACAATTCTGCTGACCGTGACTCTCTCGCTTATCCTACCTTCCAAGCATTTTCTGAGTCCCACTGTGTGCCAGGCACCGTGCAAATGCCCTCAAAGACCTTTCATCCTCCTCACTTGTGGCGGGATGGTCAGCTCTTCCCAGGGCCCCCAGGATCCTTTAAAGGGGACCCTCTGGAAAGGGCCACATTAACTCCACATCCAGCAAATCTCTGGAGAGCTTGGCTTTGCAAGAGCAGTCTCCTGTCTGTCTGTCGTCCGTGGGCCTAGACCCTGACTTGCCCATGGCTGTTTTCCAAAATGCCACCTTTGGCTGCCCCAGAGGGTTCCCCTCTGAGAAGGGGACTGCCTGGGGGACACGGATGGAGACCAAGACAGGGTCTTGTGGAAGGGATAGCGTGGGCTCCCCTTTTCCTCACACTTCTGACATTAAGCTCCTGCTCACTCTAATTCCACCCAGGTCGTGTCTCCCTCCCCTCTGAACCTCCCTCCTCCCACCAGGGCACCCAGCACGTGCTGGGACCAGAGGGGCCCTCTGGCAGTGCCTGCTGTGAGGCTGCTGGCCACGTGGCGAGCCCCTCACCCAGGGAGGGCTCCAATCAGAGGTCACATGACAGTGGGACTGACTCCTGCTTTGGGGTCAAGGTCAAACAAAATCAGACAAAACGACCTCTGAGGCTCCTGCCAGCTCCAAGACTCTAGGAGTCCTACTTAGTTACTTCTGAATTAATTATTTCTTAATTAATAACAAACCAAACATTGCAGCAACAGGCAAGCAATGAAGGAAATGAGGCTAATCTGTAACTACACCCGTGTAGCACATGATCGGGATGGGAGAGTCGCGTCCGCCTACTCGATATTTCCACTCCATTGTCACAGAAGGGGTGGTAGGAAGTACACACGCTGTTCTCGGGCGTTAACCAGCATTCTCTCGGAGGCCCCGGCGGACCCGGGACTTGGGCCCCCTCCAGCTCTTTCCTCTCCACAGCTCTCAGTCTTGGGGTTGCTGGTGTCCCGTGCCCCAAATGCAACAGCTTTACCCCCATTGTTGCTTCCTGTGAGCCCAGAATAGAAGATGCCATCTGTCACGTTTGGATGTCGTATGTCCGCTGATGATGTGCAAGCAGGTGGAGCACCAAAAGGCGCCGGGAGGGAGGCAGGAGAGCATCGGCCTTTCAAAGCGCAGCTCAGCAGCACAGGGAGGCGATGACAGGGAATCTCAGGCGGGAGTTCCGGCCGCCTGCTCTTTCTCCCAGGCAGGGAGCCCCGGGGGGGCCCCTTCAGCCCTGAAGGGCTCGCTCTTCTTCCGGGAGCACAGAGGTGCCCTCAGGACAGAGCGTGTCTGGAATGGGAGAGCTTCTGGGCACCGTCTGCGCAGGGTGGGGGGTTGCCCTCAGCCAGATGGGCTGCGGGGGTGGCCTCCTGGGGGGTGCCACTGTAAGGGGGCCGGGCCCCCGAGGTGCCACTCCGGCCGCACACCAGACGCTTTTCGTCCAGCAGGGACAGGTGGTATTCACACAGGTCGATCAGCGAGGCCACCTGCTCGTGGAGTGGCAGCATCTTGAACTTCCTCTGAGCCAGGTAGAAGAAAGCCTCTACGAAGGCCTGCAGGCACATCCCTGTGGACGAGAGATCCGCGTTAGGGGTGTGTGTGCGAAAGCTGCTCAGCACGCTGCCCTGGGCACACCCGGCTCCCACCACTAGGCTTTCTCCCCACTATTTCCAACCTGGAAACGAAATAGCTAACTCACAGAGTGCCTACTGTGCGCCAGGCGCCAGCGGGGCATTTACAACCATTTGCAGATTCGATCCCTTAAACAACTCTGTGCAGTAGGTTTAATTAACCCTATTTTACCGATGAGGAAACTAAGTCTCAGAGAAGCGGAAAGACCAGGGCAAAGTCATATGGGTAGAAGGTGGTGAAGTTGAGATTTGAACCCAGCCCAAAGCCTATCTCTCTGCACCACCATAAAGTGTTCCCATAAAACCCAGGCCCTCCTTTCATAGTAAGGGAGACGGTCATGAAGATCAGCCCACTCTGATGGCAATGCTCCATATCTTAATAGAGATATTGGTTACAGTAGTGTGGGCATTTGTCAGAACTCATCAGATTGTACCTTAAAATTTGTGCATTTTGCTGTATGTAAATTGTATCTCAAAAAGTAAAATAAACCTGACCCCGTCTCTCTACTCAAAACGATATTCTGGAAGCTATTAATAGTAGTCCCCACTGTGCACCTGGAATGTTCTTCCCCTACTGTGCCTCATAAGCTCTTGCTTATCCTTGGGATCTGAGCTCACAATCACTTGCTCAGTAAAACCTTCCCTGATCCCCAGATTAGAGCCAGCCCCGGCACAGGCTTCTTGCACTTTTCTTTGTAGCATCTGGGGCAGCTGTTCTGTGCGTATTTGTGCGGTTCTGTGACAACCTCTATCTTCCCTGCTGGATCGTGGGCTCCAGCTCACTAGCACAGAAGGTGCTCAATATAGATGGGCTGAATACACGAGTGAATGAATGAATAAGCTGGTTCTAGGCACTTTATAGACACTGCCCCTCACCCTCACAACACCTTTACAAGGTCAGTATTATTATGCCCCACTTTACAGATGAGGAAACTAACACTCAGAGAGGTTGAGTAAATTCCCTAAGGTCACACAGCCCGAGACTAGTGGTCTGGAAATTCAAAGTCTGACTCCCAATTCTTTTAACTAAGTTGTGCTGCATGAAAGGTTCTGAGTCTTCCCAATGTCCAAGTAAAAATGAACCCTGTGATCCAAATTCTTGGGATTCCCTCGGCTTCTTGGGGAGGGTGACACTAAGGCGGGACCAAATGCCATGCAGCTTTTAGACGAGGCTGGCTCCACTCTGCCGCTCCGCACCTTCCCAGTGGCCTTGCTTCCCGGCTCAGACGCCTTATTCACCTGCCTCTGTCCCCGCAGGCAGAAGCCTGGCCTGGAGTATGTAAATGCTGGATTATATACAGACCCTGGGATCTGAGAGCTCTTTTTGTGTCGGGGACTTGAACTGAGCTGAGAAGTTGTTCTTTTTCTCCTTCCAAGTCCATCAAAGCTTTTTTGCTAGGCTTCTCTTGATTCCATATGCTCTGCAAGTCCCCTGCTCTGTTTGGCCCTGACAGGAGGAGTTGATCAAGACAACGGTAACCCTGGTGGAAAATCCTCTTAATGTAAACAGAGGCCTGGTGCAGACAGAGATGCAGGGAAATGCATCTCACCAAGAGACAGATATTTTATAATCACCAACTCCGGACCGGGGCTCTCCTAGGGGGTGTGTGCGCATGTGTGTGCATGCATGTGTGTGTGCATGCCTGCGTGTGTGTGTGTCACAGTCAGTGGGGGGGGGGGTCAGATACGTGCAGAGTGGAAGAGGCCGAGATCCAAAGCCAGAGAAACCCACTGCAGTCCCAGCCTCCAACTTCCCGACTGTGATCTAAACTGTGCTACTCCAAGTGTGGTCGGCAGACGGGTGCCAAGTCCAGGAACTGCCTGTCCCTGGTCTCTGACGAGATAAGGAGCTTGGGCGAGACTGTAAGCACTCTCCTCATCCATCACATTGTTTAGTTCAGCCGGCAGGATTTTGTAGCAAGTCTTCTCTATAAAGGAAGCAGCACGCCGTCACATTCTGGCTTAAGCCACTTGTCCAGGACTGTCAGGAACAGTTCGTGGACTGCAACTTTGAGTAGCTCTGGTTTACAGAACCTTCCCAGCTTTATTGTGCATGCCAATCTCCACAGTTTTGTCAAAATGCAGATTCTGGGGTGGGGCCTGAGACTCTGCATTCCTAACAAGCTTCCCGGTGGTGTCTGTGCTGCTGCTCTCTGGAGCACACTCTGAGTAGCAAGGACTGAGTACCTTTTACTCAGTTAATATTAGTTTCCTCCCCTTAATTGAAGGCAGATTGTGATTAGAGCTATAATGCACAGAAAAAATACAATGAGGACCTTTGTTGGGGAAAAAGAAAGCATGGCTAAATCATCTGGAAGAAGACATTCTAAAATGAGAAATGAGATTTAGTGTGTGATACTTGGTTTTCTTTTTGCTTGTCTACGTTTCCTGATTTTCTATAGTCAACACATATGCAATCTTAAAATAAGCAATGGGAAATTCTAGAGGGTGGAAAGAGGTAAGGCAGGGGCAGCTGCTTTTAATTACAAACCCTTTGCTACTATTTGAATGTGAATTTATGTACACGTATTACTTTGAAAAAACACAATGCAAACTTTCTGCATATATGTTCTACTTTGATATAAAAAAGTTTAAATATGTATATGGAAAATAGAAGAGGAAGTGAAGGGGAATGGACATTATTGACTCTTGCACAAGCCCGATGCGCTATGCCAGGTGCTCCGATCCTCACTACCACTCCCACTGTACAGAGGAGAAAACTGAGGCCCAGAGAGACGAAATAACTTGCTACCAGGTCACACACTGGTAAGTGGCAGGGCTGGGATTCGAACCCAGGCCTCATGCACTGCTGATTCTGCACCTTATTCCTGAAAACCCCTCCTGAGCATCTCCACCAAGAACACTCCAGAGGTAAGAACATAGTTGTGGAGGACAGACAGGCTTTGACGGAAATATGTAGAACCTACAGGAAACAGTGAAGCCAGTGACTGGGGGTTTTAGGGGGTGGGGGAGCAGAGGCAGCTTGTAGGAAGGGGGCACTGGAGTTGGGCCTTGAAGAATGGGTAGGGCTTTCATGGGCAAACATGAGCTGGAGGTGGTGGGCTTGGCGAAGAGCAGGGATGAGCGAGGCAGAGGTGGGGCGTGTGGCCCAGTATTAACCAGGGTGCCTGCAGCAGGACAGGCTGGGGAGGGGCCAGCTGGACCAGACTCTGGAGAGAGCCGAAGGCCAGAGAAGTAAGGCGGGAGCCACTGAAGCTGTCAGGGCAAAGTGAGTGGTGATCTGGGATGTGGAGTCCCACACCTATAACAGCCTGAGCACGTCTTCCAGTCCAGGGATTTCAATTTTTTTATAGTGATCGAAACCTTGTGGGGTGCTGTTGATGATTTTTTTTTCTTGGTTTGTTCTGTTTTATTCCTCAAATGAAGTCTTGTGAGGCAGATGTGGTGGCTCAGAGCCCACCCTCACAGGCCTCCGTCACCTACAGGGACTCGCCTAAGGGACTCTTGGCTCCCCGTCACCAGCAAAGCCACCGTCACTCCCGATGCTGTAGAATCCTTGTGTACATCTTCATCTTACAGAAGGGGGAGCGGTAAACGAGGCCCCAAGTCACACAGCCGGAAAGCGACAGAAGCAGGTCTCCTGACCTCAAACTGCACCCCTCCCTGCCTTCCACCAAAATAAAAAAGCAAACCAAACACTCCTCAGGCCAGGGACTGGGGAAGAGGGCTGTCTACACTGACCGACGGCCCTGCATGCTTTGCCCAGCCCTGGTGAGAGTGTCTGAGTGAGCCCAAAGGCCAATGAGGGTTGGGAAGAGGGCGCCCCAAACCGCGCACCATGAACACACGGGTCTCTGGCCCCCACATTGGCCATTCTAAGGGGCTGTGAGTTTGACAAGAGATTGTTCCTGATCCTCATTTCCTCAAGGTGGCCCAGGGAACGGTGGTCAGAGCCAGGTCAATACTCACTAAACTTCAGAGAATTTAACCTTCTTAAGGCTTTGAGGGGATGGGAGTGGGGGGAGGAGGAGGGGGAGAACCAGAGGGAGCAAGCTTCCACTAAGTAACTTGTTGTGTTCCAGGAGCAGGGCTGCTGGGGTTCCCACCGGAGCCGTGAGCTGGGGCTCAGACGAAGGAGCAGCCCCCGCCCGGTTGGAGACTCCAGCCTTTTCCAGATGCCCCACAGACTATTGATATGTTCTCTCTGGGTCTTTCTCCTTCCTTATTATTACTTACTATAAAATACCGTGAGAGTCTTAGCAGAAGCATAGTAAAGCTCACGCACTGCCCCCTCTCTAGAACCCAAGGGTCCTCTCTGACTGACCTTCCATCCACTCTTTGTCCACAGGAGACGTGTTCTCACTTGGTTGTAATGACATCATGCACCAATGTAAATATTTTTTTGTGTTACTATGCAGCTTTCATAGTTATTTTAATGGTTGCATAATATTCCATCAAATCTTGACTTGCATATCATTTTGTCACACCCCCCGCTGCCGAACACTGAGACTAGTTACATCTTTTCACTATTATTGAGAGTATTATAATAAACATGTGGTATGCCATTGTTTTTATTTCTGATTTATTCCCTTACAATAAAACTCTTGGAATCTGTTTTTTTTTAATGTAATTTTGGTTTCATAGTTAATTTCGTGTTAAAAATACTTCAACCTTATAGAGTCCCCAAATGGCCAAAGACCGTGAATGGGCAGTTCACATACATTAGCAAGTAAGAGAGAAAACATCCAATCCCATCGAAGCCAGAGGTGCTACTGCTCACCCACTAAACTAACAAAAATGTAAAATAATGATAATAGTGAGGCAGTGGTGAAATCGCTGTGGACTTTTGAAAAGCAATTTGGTGAAAGTTTTAAGAATCATTCAAGTGTTTCAAAATATTCCTTACAAAGGAAAACATAAGGTCCACAATGGTATTCATCTGCAACTTATTTACAGTAGGGGTGGGGGGAGCAGT